ATTGTCACATTTTTTTTTCTGTCTGCAGGATCGGCTCTTAGGCCTTGTCATGCAGGGTCTCAGCCCCTCTTTCTTGGTTCGCAGGTCGGACAGTCATCTTCACCACCCACCACCTGGACGAGGCCGAAGCGCTCAGTGACCGCGTGGCGGTCCTGCAGCGGGGGCAGCTCCGGTGCTGCGGTCCTCCCTCCAGCCTGACCGCGGCGGCCGGCCAGGGGCTCTGCCTGACGCTCACAAAGCAGGTGAGACGTGGGGATTTCGGTTCCTTTCCTGTGTCCTTCTGATGTGTGGGCGCAGGAGACAAAACACAGTAACAGCGTTTTCCAACGCTGGGCACAAATCACGTAGCCGATGTTTATTCTGCCTCCAGTGTGGGCCTCACGCTGCCGCCGGGCGCAGGGGAAGTGGTGGAGCAGGACACCTGTTTTCTGCACAGGGTCCTTGGGGTCCCCGTGCCTGTGCAGGCAAGGACGTGCCTGGGAAGGACAGAACAGAATATGGTGACGGTGGTGGGTGGGTGTGGAGCCGGGCCCAGAGTCGGCACGGTGCAGGGGAGGTGATCGCGGGCTCCTGGCCGTCAGGGAAGGGGGGTGGCAGGGCAGGGCTGGGACCAGGGCCTTCCCACGACTGGAGGGACCTGAAGAGGCGGAAGTGGAGGTGGTCCAGGTGGAGGTGTCTGTGGGTTTCATGGGGCTGCCCGGGGTGCGCCCAAACCAGAAGGGGTCCCATGGAGCCGGAGGCACCTGCTGGTAGCGGCGTCTGCGTGGGCGTCTGGGCAGGCGTTGTCCCGGCCCCACGGGCTCTCCGAGCGTTTCTGCGACAGGGACACTTGGTTTGGGAGGTGGCAGCTTTACCGCCGTGCAGGGCAGTGGGGTGGGATCTGTACTTGGAGGTCCCATCCACTTCTGTTATCCTTGCCTGTGTCAGCGGGGCAGGCGAGGGCTCCGGGGTGCGGTCTCCACGTGGCCTCCCCGCCCTTGATGGCCCCGTAGACCCTGGGTGCCTCAGCTCTGTTCAGGACCCTGCTGTGCTGAGGTGGCCCCTCCCCTCCGAGGGAGGGGACGCTTGTCTCCCTTTTGGGACGACTCGTCCGTGTCCTGCGATCCAGCCCCCAGGCTAGAGGCAGTTTCACGACTCTTTCCCGTTGCCAGGCTGAGCGCCATAGATTTGAATTTCACAAGGAGAAATGCAGTGCCTCTTTCACACCTGTCACTTTAACCATACGTCTCGATTTTGCTGCTTTGCAGTCGAATTTCAGGCGACTTGGCTTAGGGAATATGTGTGCAATCAACAGGTGTGGAATTTTGGGATCCCTTTCAATTTACAATCCTTACTCTTTCCTCCCTTTTGTTTTTTTTTGGGTCAGCCGGCAGTCCGGGAGGTGGACGACGCGAAGGACACAGCGTGTGTGACGTCTCTGATCCAGACCCACATCCCGCAGGCGTCTCTCAGAGGCAGCAGCGGCGCGGAGCTGAGCTACGCGATTCCCGAGGAGGCGGACAGAGCCGCCTTCGAAGGGCTCTTCCAGGCCCTGGATCAGAACCTGTGCCGTCTGCGCCTGACAGGCTACGGGCTCTCCGACGCCACCTTAGAGGAGGTACCGAGCCCGGCTCGCAGTGACGGGGCGTGGGTGAGGCGGCCAGGAAGGGGCGAGCTGGGGACACCGTGCGTCTGCATTTATTTCCGAGTTCTGCTCGGCGTCGGGCGCGGAATTGAACAGACCTGGCAGGTGACTCTGGTTCTTCAAGCGAAGTAGCACTTTGATGTTTGAGAACTTCGACATCTTTATGCAGCATCCTTAGAGGCCTGGACAGTTTGCAGGAGTGGGCGGTCGGCGGGCCGGAGTTCCCCACCGGGAGGTGCCCGTCTCTTTTGGGTCTGGACCTGATTCTGCTCAGAAGCCCGTGGCCCCTTGCTGGGCAGAGATGCTCACAGGGTCACGCAGAGAACCGTGCAACCCCCTCCCCACCGCACCCCGCTCCCCTCTCCCCCGGCCTGAGCTGGTTGGCACCCGCGGCTCCGGGTGCTTCTGGGCCGCGGAGGACATGGCAGCGTGGCCTCCAGGAGGGAGTTTCTGGGTTTGTCACCGAACCAAGGACAAGCCATTGGGGGGCGGCAGGGTTGGCACTTGAGGCTGGCCCCGTGTGAGCCAGGATGCCTGGGGGCTGCTGTGGAAAGCCAACAGCGCAGAGTCACAAATCTTTGGTGTGAGATCTGGCTGTCTCCCGCTGCCGTCCCTCGCATTGTGACATGAATGTCATCTCTCGAGAAAGGCCGTCCGGGTCCCAGTGTCCCCCCTCCGTCTCCCCTGCCCGCTGCAGTCCACTTCATGACCCCTGTCTGTTTGTCCTGTCTGTCACCTGGCCCCCGACTTGAGATCCAGGAACAAGCGCTTCCTCTCTGCCCACCTCCACGCCCGCAGTGTGTTTTATCAGTGTTTTCCGAGTGCGTGGTGCGTCAAGCTTCGGGGAGGAGCGTGTTTTAGTGGAAAGGGTGAACGCGGCCCCGGCCGTTTCTAAATCCAAGACTTAGGGACGTGGATAAATCACTGAGCTCACGTGAGCCTCTGTGATATTTGAAATGGAAGAATTAGAGCAGTTTACATCGTTAGTTCAGGAATCACCAGTCATCGTTAAATGCCTGGAACAGACCACGTTCTTCTCGGCTACAGAAGCAGAGACCGCGAGATGGTTGCCGTGGGATTGGGGTGACGAGGAAACTAAGTTGCATCGATGCCCCAGAAGAGGCTCCTCTTCTCCAGGGCTTTTGGGCAGGCAGCCGCGCTTCCGTGCGGGTGGAGAAGACAGGGCAGTTTCCCGGCCCCTCTCCCGAGAGGGCCTGGGCCGGGGCGGGGCCGGGGCTCTCCGCACACTTGGGTGCCCTGTGCCGGCAGCTCTGAGTGTTGGTGATGCCACGCACCGGCTGTCACTGTCGCCTGAAGTCTGGGTCACTAGGAAGCTGGTCGTCTTGATGGCCGGGAACCTTGGCTCCCACGAACCGCAGTTTCCGCGAAGACGTGAGGGGGCGGGAGCTTTGAGGGCGTTCCGCCAGCCGGGGTCCCTTGAAAAGGAAAAAGAGGAGAATTTCTTTGAGCTGCAGGGGGAGGGTCTGCCAGTCAGAGGCACAGGTGCAGCGTCTGCCCCTCTGGGTGTGGCCTCGCTGGGTGGGTCCGTGCGACAGACTGACGTGTCCTGCGCTCCCCGGCTTCTCGGGCGGCGCCGAGCAGAACCCCCCACGGGATTTGGCTCAACCTCTGGGGCCAAAACACACTTACCCAGAAAATAATGCACGTGCACCCTCCACATGACTTATTTGCAGTTAAACCCACGTGGCGGGAAGCCCACGGCTTTCCTCCACGTCAAGTGGCATTTTTTTCCTGTTGCCAATAAAGTGAGAAACCTCAGGAATCCTTCCTAGGCTTATAATTGGATGGAGGGAAATTTTGTGGGGCTTTGTGTTCTGGGTGGATGCTTAGCTTTTCAGTGTTTTGCTGGTCAGTGTGCTCGGTATGACCAGTCGGGGCCGGCTCAGGGAGCAGCGTGCGTTTAGGGAGAGACTTCCACTACACTTATGTTACTCTCAGGGTGAAACTGGGCGAACACGGGGCTGGAACGTCAGTTTTCTCGTCGCTAACGTAGAAATATCTCCCCTCACTGTCACACGCAGTTTTTGTTTAGATCAAGGAACTTGGTGATACAGAGAACAGGTGACAAACTGCAAGAAAATGCACAAAGGTGAGGGCTGACCAGCTTTATTTTTACAGCTGCTCTTTCCCAAAACACCTGTGCCGTGGTTCATTCTGCAGTTATGCGTTTCTATACAGCAGTCCCTCTCTGCTTTTCATGTTGTAGAAGACGCTCCATCGCAGTGTGACTTGTAAAAATTCTTCCTATGCTGTAGTCCTTGAGGGCTCCTATTTCTCTGTAGTAGTTGCCTTTCTTCTCCAAGATATTTTTATTTTGTACTTTATCCATCCACGTTCCTTTCGGGTATTTCCTAATCTTTCTCCTCCTTGCCTTCTTTTGAAAAATATCCATTAAATTGCATGCAGGGAAAATCCACTCACGTACATTTTGACCAATGCCTGGGGTCATGGAATCACCACCACGACCGAGATACAAAGGGGTTCCATCCTTGCTGCCTTTTTTTTTTTTTGGAGAAAATACAGGTGTTGTTTTATTTTATTTTCAATTGAGGCGTAGTGATTTACAAGGTGTTAGTTAGTTTCAGTTGCACAGCAAATAATTCAATTATACATATATATGTAAATGTTTTTCAGATTCTTTTCCATTATAGGTTATTAGAAGATATTGAATATTGCCCCCTGTGCTCTACTGTAGGACCCTGTTGTTTATCTATTTTATATATAGTAGTGTGTATCTGTTAATCCCAAACTCCCAATTTGTCCCTCCCCTGCCCTCTCCCCCTGGGTAACCGTAAGTTTTTTTCTACATCTGTGAGTCTGTTTCTGTTTCCTGAATAAGTTCATTTGTGTCGTTTTTTAGATTCCACATATGAGCGATCTCATATGGTGTTTTTCTCTCTCTTTCTGTCTTGATTCACTTATCATGGTGATCTCTGGATCCATCCATGTTGCTGCAAATGACATGATTTCATTCTTTTTCATGGCCGAGTAGTATTCCATTGTATAAGTACACCACATCTTCTTCATCCAGTCATCTGTCAATGGACACTTGCATTGCTTCTGTGTCTGAGAGCTGCTCTGAACACTGGGGTGCATATACCTTTTTGGATTATATTTTTCTCCAAATCTATGCCCGGGCGTGGGGTTGCTGGATCACAGGGCAACTCTGCTTTTAATTTTTCAAGCAACGTCCACCCTGTTCTCCACATTCCTGCTGCCTTCTTAAAAGAGTCGTCCTTGCACACAGCTTGCCTCTCTGCAGAAACTGCCTCCCCCGCCAGGACCTGCATCTCACGTCCTCGGTTAATCATCCCCGAACAAGCCCGCCCGGGAGCCACAGAACCGGCAGCTCAGTGTCCTTGGTGACTTCATGCTGCTTTCCCAGTTGCCCACCATGATTTCCACCTGCCCGGTTCCGTCCTTGCTTATACGTAATAGGTGCTAAACAAATACTGATCGATCAACTCCCATCTCTCTCTCTCTTCTTCCTCACACACACACAGATGCTCAGAAAGAAGTTGTCGGCATCAAGGACAATGTGTTTCAGAGAGGAGATTTTGTAAAACAGAGCATTAGAGGCTATTTGGATTTGAGAGAAGATAAATTGGAAGAAGACTGAAGCCGCTGTAAAGCACTTTCTTTTGTTTGGTGTCGGCTGTCAGATACCCGTCTTGACCAATTTTGTGTCTTTACCCCTGAGGAGTATCGACTTTCTTGTGCTGTGTCTGCGATCGACAGGCGGTGCGCGTGGCGGTGCCCATGGCCCGGGAGCTGTCTCCTGCTCCATGTGCGTCTGGCCCATGACTTTGCAGAGGGCGGGGCTGCCCCCAGCTCTCCGGAGCCTCCAGCTGGAGAGCAGATTCCGTTCTCGGCCGCAATAAATTTCCTGTAAATCATGGTCCCTAAATAGGCCCCCCCGGCCAGTGAGACTGAGGTAGAAGATGTGGCCGTGGTGGTCCCCGAGGTTATTACAGCATTGATCCTTCTCCTCCAGCGCAGGGGACGGTGTGCGTTGCGCCCGGGACTTGGATGCGGGGAGGTGCCCCTGGGCTGTGCCGATGGAGCGCGTTTACAGCCGCCTCTGAGGCCAAGACGGAATCTTCCGATGTCACGCAGAGTGAATTTTAGCATCTTTAAAATAGACTGTTTTTTAGAACAGCCTTAGGTTCACAGCAACATTGAGACAAAGTTACTGCAATTTCCCGTATGTCCTCCGCCCCCGCGTATGCAGTGCCCCCCCCAATTATTAACACCCTAGTGCATTTTTAATCATTTTGAAGCTCCTGGTAACAGTCTAGGAAGGTCGGGCTGCCCGTGTGAGGGGCGCAGACCCCTCCCCCCGAGCCGCTGGCTTTTGGGCGTGGGTTTCCCTGTCCCTCTGCCAGGAGGGGCCCCGATGCCAGTCCCCTGGGTGCGTGAGCTCAGGTGGTCCACCTTCCACAGCATCAAGAGGATGAAAAAAAATCAAGTCCAGAGTGGGACTCGGGGCCACTTACTTAGTTTTACTTTTTTGAGAGCAAATTCTAAGAAGGAAGACTTCCGTTACAGTCTTTGCCCGGAAGGCTTGGGTCCCAGTCACGCCCCGAAGAGCAGAAGGACCCCACCCCCCGGGTCACGTGCTCCGCTCACGGCCTGTCCCTTGGGAGCCATCCGTCTTCAGGGACACCTCTTTCCTGGACCCTGGTGGCCTCGATGTTTCTGCAAACGACAGGTGACCCCTCCATCCTTTCGCGCAGCGAGCCTCACGGGGCGTTCATCCAGTTTCCTCGCGATGGACCGGGTTCTGCATTTTGGGCTGGAAAGTTACAGGAGGGTGCTGTGTCCCGCGGCTCCCGACCGCCTGGTGCCCGAGGTCCCTCTGTCCCCATCCATCGCTGGTGGCCGGAACTTTGACCGTCCAGGCATTTGCATCGAAAGTTAATCTTCCTTTTTTCATCATCACGTGTGTTTCCGAGCACACGCTCCCGCTTCTCGTCCCACGTCTCCCGCCGGTTTCCGCCCCCTCCCGTGCGCTTCGCCGGGATTTTCACGGCCACGTCTTTCGCCAACGGGAGATTTTTCCAGTTCCATCATTTTTCCTACATTTTTTTTGAGTTACCGTTCACAGTAAGGAAGCACGTTCTCTTCACCCCGTTTACTTACTTACGTCAGCAGCAACTCCCAGCTTCTTATTTTATCCCGTGAGCTGCAATTCCGCGAGATCGCTGCTTGCTTGACTGCGTGACCCTTACCTGAGGGGCCCCTTCCAGCTGGCTTTGTGCCTTCTTGCACGTCCCCGTCACCTTTGAGTGTTTCCTCGCTTTCTGAGAGCACAGAGGGTGATGGGGTCACCTTGTCCCGGCCCGGCCCTGGTTCCGGAACCCGTTCCCCCCAGGAGCCCCGGCTGCTGGGCGCACCTGCGGCTGTGAGGCGCTCAAGCCCCTGGTCCCGTTGTGCGTGGAGCTGGAGGTTCTGCACGTGTTGCTGTCTCTCTGCTGGAAACCAGATGTCCCCCTCCATGTCACACCGGGCGCATCGCATCCCTGGACCGTAGGTGTCACCTGCATGGATCCTGTGATGGGGAGATTACTGGCGATCATCCGGGGGGCCCTGGTATAATCCAAAGTGCAAGAGGCAGCTAGGAAGCTCAGACGCGGGAGAGGGTCGTGTCCTGGTGGAAGCAGAGATGGGAGGGAGGAGTTTGGAGACGGAGGATGGGGCTCTGAGCCACAGCTTGCAGGCACCACTGGAAGCTGGAAAAGGCTTCCCCCTCAGAGCCTCCGGGAGGAGCACAGCCCCGCCAGCAGCTCAGCATCAGACCCAGGGGCCCGTTTTAGGAGCCAGACGGGAGGCGCCGGCTCCACCGTCTCCCGGGCGTAGCCCATCCACCCGGCACGTCAGGTGCAGGTCGAGTCTGCGGTCTCGCAGCCCTTGGTGGTGGCGAGGCTGGGCCCCGCCGCCGGACGGACTGATGGCCCGCTCAGGACAGAGGTGACGCGGGGCCGCCGTCAGCGTCCAGACCCCGCAGCGCCTCTCAATTAAGAAAACCTAGGTCCATGCTGACTTCACGGCACCTTTAAAACGAAGAGCAGGCTTCGTACGGATGCCCCGAGTTTTGCTAATTCATGAACGATTTCCACGCTAGTTAGCGTCCTCCAGGTTTAATTTAATGATTTCGTTTCTCCCTGGTTTTATCGGCACATCGTACGGTCTTAGTTTGAGGTGCAGAACATGATGGCCTGATGTGTGTATCCACTGGGAAATGATTTAATTCATCGGGAGATTAAATCCGTTGAATTTTAGTTAACCGTTTAATTTTAATTAATCATTTAATTTTAGGTAACACCCGTCCCCTTACAGTTTTATTTTTTTTCTTATGATGAAAACGTTAAAAAAAATCTATTCTTCTGGATTTCAAATATACAACAGCGTGTTGCTGACCGTATGTGCGTGCCCAGTGCTTGTGACTGAACTTGCGCCTTTCAGCCACTCCACCCATTTCTCCCACCCCCAACCTCACCTCTGGCAACTACGCCTCTGTTCTCTGCATCTATCCGTTAGGTTTTTTTTTAGATTCCACTGTAAGTGAGATTATACAGTATTTGTCTCTCTCTGTCTGACATTCTCACTTAGCAAAATGCCCTCACAGTCCATCCCTGCTGCTCCAAATGACAGCATTTCCTTTTTTTTTTAATAATTTATAAGAAGTGTTTGTGTCTTAAACATTCATTGAACCTACCTTTGAAGTTTCTAGCAATTCATATAAACAGATTGTAGAAAACCTAATAACCTTCACGCATACTAATGTGAATGGAGCAATAAAGCCTTTATTTATGCATTTATTTTTAAAGTTTTACTGAGTTATAGTCAGTTTACGAATGTGTCAGTTCCTGGTGCACAGCACAGTGCTTCAGTCACACACGACTATGCATACATTCATTTTCACTTTCTTTTTCACCGTGAGCTAGTACAAAATCTTGAATATATTTCCCTGTGCCCTACAGTATAAATTTGTTTATCTATTTTATATATATCGGTCCGTGTCTGCAAAGGGTTTCCTTCTTGTTTGTGGCTGGACGTTGTTCCGCTATGTATATATGCACAGAGCAGGGACCGATGACAAGAGCGTGTGAGCCGTGTTGCCGTCGGAGCAGAGTGGCGATGCCGGCGTCCCGCGTGGCGCCGGCCGGTAGGGGGCAGGGACTGAATCTCGGCCCACGGGGTGTCTGCTTCCCGAGTCTCTCTGCCCAGCACCTCGCGGCCAGCCTGCCGTATCATCGCCCCGGTCTGCAGACGAGGTGGTGAGCCCTGTGTCTGCCGGTGCAGGACTGGCCCGGGCGGTGCCCAAGAGGGGACCCTCCGCCCTCGGAGCTCAGGGCCCCAGCCCTTTCCCACAGGGCGTGCAGGGCAGGGAGGGCCTTCATGCACCCATCGCCTCCCCTCTCTGCTCTGCCAAGTGTTTCTTATTTTTTTTAAATTTATTTTATTGGAGGGACTGGGAATCGAACCCAAGACCTCGTGCATGCTAAGCACACGCTCTACCACTGACCTGTACCCTCCCCTAAGGCCAAATTCTTTTTTCTCCCCTGCAGGGAGAGGTAATTAGATTTATTTATTATTTATTATTTTAACGGAGGGCCGGGGGACTGAGCCAGGGCCTCGTGCATGCTAAGCACGCGCTCTCCCACTGAGCTGCACCCTCCAGTCTGCCCAGTGTTTCTGCTGGGACGCCCTCTCCTCCCCTCCTCCAGCCCCGCCAGCCACCGGGAGCAGCCCACGGGCTCGCTGTCCCTGCCTCCCCCCCGTCCAGGCTTACCTGCTCCCCCCTCCCTCTCACTGGCTGGGGGCCCAGTCCTGGGATTTGAACAGAATGCGGCTGGACTTCTGCCTCCAGCGGTAACTCCATGGTGGCTTCAGGGCAGGGGATTGCAGGAGCTGGTGGAGCTGGCGTGGTGGGGCGCGGCCTGCGGGGAAGACGTGAGAGGCAGGGACTGTCGCACGTGGAACCCCGCCCCGGCTAAGTGACCCCGAGCCTCACATCACTGCCCGGTTCCTCCCTGGATTTCTAAATGCCGGGACAGCACATCGCAGACTCGAGTGGAGTGGGACACACTGTGTGACCGGCCTTGTCCTTGCCCGGCCGGCTCCCCCTGTGGCTTTGGCCACAATCAGAGCGCCCTGAGGTTCACGGTCAGGTGTCACTCACCTCTGTGTCTCGGGCGCAGCCCAACAGCCCGCCCGCGGAGGACGTGGTGGCCTTGGGGTTAATCCCATGAACTGAATGACCGAGGGACGTTCGTCCGTGTTTGGTGAGCATTGTCATAGTAATAGAGTCGGGGAATCGAGGCAAAAGGCGAAGACACCACAACTCACGTGAAGCTCTCTTCCATTTTCCAAAAGGTGTTTCTGAATCTTCTGCGAGACTCCCAGGAGCCGTCCGCCGATGCCCCGGCGCCGGAGCCGCGGTCCTCCCGGCCCCCAGAGCACGCTCCCGGTCACTGTAAGTCAGAGCATGGCTTTGCGTTTCGCTGCAGGGGTGGTGCCTGCCTCCTCATCGAAACCCCCCGAGTTAAACGTTGAGGAGGGAGATTAAAGACAGGGAGGGGGTGGACCTGGAGGGAAAGGGCACGGGGTGGAGGCGGAGGCGGAGCGCTTGGCATTTCGTCGGACGTGCCTGGAACAGCTGCGCGTGTGAGGGACAGCCTCACCTGTCCCTGGGAACTTAATTCACCATACAAGCGACGCCCAGTCTGTGTCCATCTCGGTCTGCCCGCGCTGCGGACAAGCCCGTCCAGCCTCCGTTCACGACGTGCTTCTGGTGCGCAGCGTCGTGTTTCAGTCATACGCACACAGGCGTGTATTCCTTTGCAGATTTTTTTCATTATAGGTGACTGCAAGGTATTGAATAGAGGTCCCTGTGCTGCACAGTATAAACTTGTGATTTATCTATTTTATATACAGTCGTATCTGCAAATCTCGAGCTCCCGTTTTACCCCTCCCCACCCCTCCCCACCCCTTCCCCTCCTGGTAACCACAAGCTTGTTCTATGTCTGTGAGTCTCTTTCTGTTTCATAAATAAGTTCACTTGTGTCTTTTTTTTTTTACATTCCACATATGAGTGATCTCATATGGCATTTTTCTTTCTCTTTCTGGCTGACTTCCCTTAGAATGATGGTCTCCGGGTCCATGCCTCAGGCAGCCCCCCACCGGGCTGGAATTCTGCAAGGAAAATTCCATTCTGCGCCCCCCCCCCCCCCGCCGCCCCGGGCCATTCCTTCAGGGCTGCCCTGCCATGGGGAACGGGTGGGGCAGAGGTGACCAAAAGTGATGCGGGATTTCCCGTCTCAAATGTAGGTCTTTTTTAAAAGTGAGGGTTTGATTGGATACTGTGGATCTCTCTGGCCGCCAGAGCGCCTGTGCTCCTTGTCAACTCACTTCGCTTCGTCTGTAGCCGTTCACCTGGTGTCTCGGTCAAGGACCGAGGGCCTGGATCTCCCCGTTCTGCCATTTTGCTGATGTCATCCTAACACCTTAACTTTTTTTTAAAGGGCTCTTCTGGGGACTGAAGACGCTGACCTTTTGTTTTGTAAACACTGCAGCTTTTTCTCCGTGCCCCGTCACCAACGGCTTTTTCTGGCTTTTAGCACCTTTAAAAGCAATCTCGAAACAGGATTTTCAAAGTCATCCATTCGCGCTGTCCCCTCTCACCGTGCTGGGAGCGTCAAGGGGGAACAGGGCAGTGCCCTCAGTTCTCTGTCTGGAAACCTCCTGAGCTGAATACCCAGGTGTATTCCTTGCAGATTCTGCCTTCCGCGTCACTGCAGGAGACAGCTGTGCTGGGTCTCCCAGCGTCCAGGGCAAGGACACCCTCCCTCCAGTTTCCTCGGAGGCTCCCCACTTCCCTCTGAGCACGCAGGGGCAGCAGCCTCAAAATTCTGGTTTCTAACAGTCTGTCTGAGGAAATTTAAGTCTTCCCTTCCATGCTTCTGAGAATTCTCCCATCTTTCATCCACTCACTGACCTCAGACCATTCCTACGTTAAACATTTGTTACAGCCACGCTCTCCATTTCCAGTTACCAAAACTTGTTAGAAGATTGCCACCAATTTAGCAGATGAAGACACACCTCCTTATCTCGCAGTTCCTGCAGGTCTGAAGTCTGGTTGCAGCATAACTGGGTTTCCTGCCTGGGGCCCCACACGCCTGCCGTGTGCTCTGCGCCCTCACCCAGCGTCCTCACCAGGGCTCCCTTCCTCACGCACTCCGCGTGTCGGCAGAATGCAGGTCCTTGTGGTCACAGGACCGAGGTCCACGTTTGCTGGCTGGCTGGCTGTCTGCTGGGTTTGCTCACAGTTCCTTGAAAACTGCCCTCAGGTCTTAGCCACATGGTCCTCCCACAACACGGCATGTTTCTTCTTCAAAGTGAGCAGGGAATTCTCTGCTTTGATTAAATTCAAAGCTGTAATTCCATCTGTAAAATCTCCTCACTTTTGCTGTGATGTAGGAGTGAAATACACCAATTGTAGTAGGGATGGTCATCTCATTCAAGGTCTCAACCGTAGTCCAAGGGAGGGGATTGTGACCCTCAAGGAAGTGTAAGTCACTGGGGGGTCATTTTATTTATTTTTTATTTTTTTCTTATTTGAGTATTTTTTTAACATTTTTATTGATTTATAATCATTTTACAATGTTGTGTCTAATTCCAATGTAGAACACAATTTCTCAGTTATACATGAACATATATATATTCATTGTCACATTTTTTTCTCTGTGAGCTACCACCAGATCTTGTGTATATTTCCCTGTGCTCTACAGTATAATGTTGTTTATCTGTTCTACAATTTTGAAACCCCAGTCTGTCCCTTCCCACCCCCCACCCCCTTGGCAACCACAAGTTTGTATTCTATGTCTATTGAGTCTATTTCTGTTTTGTATTTATGCTTTGTTTGTTTATTTGTTTAGTTTTTTTAGATTCCACATATGAGCGATCTCATATGGTATTTTTCCTTCTCTTTCTGGCTGACTTCACTTAGAATGACATTCTCCAGGGACACCCATGTTGCTGCAAATGGCGTTATGTTGTCAGTTTTTATGGCTGAGTAATATTCCACTGTATAAATAGACCACATCTTCTTTATCCAGTCATCTGTTGATGGACATTTAGGCTGTTTCCATGTCTTGGCTGTTGTAAATAGTGCTGCTATGAACATTGGGGTGCAGGGTTTTGAAGTAGGGTTCCTTCTGGATACAAGCCCAGGAGCAGGATTCCTGGGTCATATGGTAAGTCTATTCCTCGTCTTTTGAGGAATCTCCATACTGTTTTCCACAGTGGCTGCACCAAACTGCATTCACTGGAGGGGTCATTTTAGACGTTACCAGTGTTACAACACGCTGGATTGAATTTCTGTCTTCCTGTTGAGTTTGATCCCCTTTTCCTATTGACCAGCCATTTGAATTTCTTGTTTGTTAACACTCTCATTGCTCCCTTTTGCCCGTGAATCTTACATTTTAGAGACCAGTGCTTTAGGTTTATTTTTTCACTAACATCAGCTGCATCCATCATATCATAAACGCCAGAGACCTCAGTGGTGCGACCAGATGAGTTTTGCGTGGGGCTCACCTGTGTGACCATCCCTCACGGGGCCTCCCCAGGCCGCCTCCTCTGAAGGCAACTCTGTCCCTTCAGAATAATCTTGCCTTTTTGTTGAACTTCATGTAAATGGAATCATATAATATGTACAAAATGGTGTGTTTTTTCTTTCTGTATTTTGTCTGAGATTCACCGGTGTCACTTGTGTCAATTCTAGGTAGTGACCGTCCACTGTATGTATCATAATTTGCCTCTGTTCTCTATAAAATTTTTCTTGTAACTGGACAGAGGCCTTCTTTCCTCATTTCATTATCAGAATTTTGCCTCAGGGTTTAGTTTCTGAGCATTCTTTTTTTTTTTTACATTACCTTAGTTAACGACTTTTTAACATAAGAACAAGTTTAAAGAAAATACGATTATGTTCTTGTAAACATTTGTCATCACTGAGAATTTAGGACAATTTCCATGGAAATTGTATTGCCTACATATATCTTCCTCATTATGGTTAATGCATCTGCTCTGAGAAATGATAATTTCATGTTCTGAATTTGAGTAACATTATGAAAATCCACATGCATATGTTGGAAAGAAACCATATGCAAAAAAAAAGGCTAATGTGATGTGAAAAAGAGTCGTATTTTAAATTTAAAAAAGAACCCCGAGGACAGGAAACTTACAGTGCTTTCCATTAGCATTGTAAAGTATGATATAAACATGTAATTTTATTTATCATTCCAATTACAAATCATGGAAGTGGAAAATGCATCATTTAAAAATCTATCTAAGTATTTCATTACGAAGAAAGAAACGAGGATACACTAAAACACATTTGGTAGGTGATTGCCCACATTTACCAGTTTTATTAGATCCTGGAAAACCCGTGCACACATCTCAGCAGGAGGCCCGCAGGGAGGTAGAATTTCTGTTACTTGGTGGAAGCAGGTGCATCGTAATGCCAGCTGGGGATGTTAGGGAGAGCGTATTTCGGTGTCTTCCGGGTAAAATGCCTTATTGAGTCCCTTTGTTGGCGAGGTCCACACCCGGGAAAGGCCGCTTTAGAAGAACTGTGTGCAGAGCGCCTCCTCCTCTGCGGAGGCTCTCAGACTCACCGTCTTGCCACTGACCCCACTCCCCGCTGCCCCCGCCTGTGGCCGTTGCTTCTCCCTCGCACCAGCCGCGTGTCCTCAGAAACAGGCTTCCGGGGGCCAGCTCACCGTTTTCTCACGGCCCGCTTCTCCCAGTGACGGATGGAGGCAAAACAACATATAAAATAGGTACCTTTTAGTCCGAGGGGCCCCGCAGCTGCACAGGAGTGAGTGATAATGGATGGCTTGGTGCTTATCTAAGTGGCAGATTCTTTACGCCCAAGTTCCACACATGCTGATTCCAAAGATGCATACGTTTACACTTTTATTGTATTTTAAAAATTGTTTATTTATTTTTTTAATTTTTATGTCCTTACACAGGCACCCCGATTTCCTTTGATTTAGGGGAGCTGTGGCCACTGCTGTGGAAAACGCCCCGTTAGAATCTCTTTGAGCTGTTGCAGGTTCCCTGTGCGTCTTCTGGGCTTAACCCTGGTGCTGGACGCAGGCGGCTTTCTTTTCTTCTTTGTCTGCATCTCCCTGGACTTCAAATGCTGCCTTCCCTGCCAACAAGGTGGGGAGGACACGCGGCACCTGCCCATTATTCGTGCCAAAGGAGTTTGCTTTGCCACGGAGGCTGAAATCAGCAGAGAGCCCTGGTGGCGCGATCTGCAGAAGACAGGCTGCCAGCATCATGAGAATGGAATTGCAATGGGCCTGGGCGGGCGCCTGAGAGCGGCGGCTCCTGCTGGGGGCCTTGGGGTGCAGGGCGAGTGTGGGAAGCCGTGATGCTTGTCCCCGGGCACCGATGGTGGATGATGAATGG